TTCGTGACTGCAGGGATTCATCTTCTTGGTTCTTTCGGTAAAGTCACATACCGAAATAAGCAAGAAAGAACCAAGAAGACTATTAAAACACATTGTCAGAGTTGCATTTAATGAAACAATACGATCTCGTTTTGTTGTGGGGAAGTCATGTGTGATCAGGCTGAGTCGATCGATTCGCTACCCCTTGAGAACCCATTTGAATCCCAGGCAGTGACTGAAACCCAGATTCAAGCCCGAGAAAACTGCTATACCGGCTCGAAGTGTCTCTGTCTGGAGAGCCACGTGCTCGCTCCCTCGCTCACAAGTTTAGCTTTCACTTACTCGAGCCTAAACGCCTCAATACGAACTGGACGTGAACGAGTCCTAAGAGATGAGTCGTTGACGAAAGCAATCTGACTTTTCCTCTCCCAGCACAAGAGGCGTTATTTCTCCACCGAAACATCACAAATGCATTTTCGTCTCCCGCGTTTGCTCATCACCCATCATTGTTCACCGTGCGTTTGTGATCTAACCCCCTTCCTTTATGATCACCTACAATAAAATATATATCTCTCTTAAACCTATCCGGCGCCGTTTCTGCTTCATGCCACGCCAGTGATTCACCGCGATGGGCCCTTTCCTCCTGCGCGGTGCACACGCGCCACGAAATCGCAGCAAATTGCTACGGCAATTTTTCGATTTAAAGCTTTCGTGACTGCAGGGATTAATCTTCTTGGTTCTTTCGGTAAAGTCACGTAGATTGGAAATAATAAAATAATAAAACATAATTCTCACGACGTTTCGGCCACAACGCAAGCAGCCATCCTGCTTGCGTTGTGTGTCATTCAGACTCTGTCTTCTCGACAGACCTGTTCTCCACCTGAGGACAGAGTCTTCTCGACAGACCTGTTCTCACCTGAGGACGGCTGCTTGCGTTGTGGCCGAAACGTCGTGGGAATTGTTTTATTATGTTCTATTTGTATCATTGTATTACTTCCATTCTACGTGGGTTTACCGAAAGAACCAAGAAGATGCCACGGCAATGTTCCAAGTGTAATAATCCTTCGGAGACGGCTTCGGAATCGGTCCTCTTATTTTCACCTCCACGATACACTTTATTCACTCACGCTCCGTTGCTGGCAGACAACAGAGAGCGGGCAGACTTCACACCAGTTTCCCACTGCGCACGTGGCACCCAGAGCCCCCGTACTCGCGTGGCTCTCGCCCTGTTCGTTTCCCAGTCTGCTCTCGATCGTTCTCTCTCACTCTCTCTTAATCCCTTCGTCACGTGGTCCCCCCAGCCAATCCTCCATGGACAGCCTCGACCATTCTCGATGGTTCCGTCACTCCCGGGACCACGCCTCTCATCCGGATCCCCATTAGCTGGGGCCCCGAATGGCTAGGCCAATCACTCCTGATGACATGCCGTGATCACGCCGGGCCCACGCTCCCTATCTCAACCCTTATTGGCTACAAAGCAGGACCGGCAAGCCAATCCCCACGTGAACCCTCTATGGCTGTTATTACACAGTATTCTTGGTTCTTTCGGTAAAGTCACGTAGAAGGGAAATAATAAATAATATAAATATTAAACTATAAAAATTCTCACGACGTTTCGACTGCAACAATCATCATCAGGTGTTGTTGCAGTGAACCGAGTTGGCCCTATCCCGTGCCCGCACTTTGATTGAATGCCTTCATTTAGGGTTGATTTGGTTCAACCGAAACGCGGCTCATTAACGAGAAGACCGCATTGTGCAGGGAGTTACCTCGGGGAGCAGACCTCGCGGGGCTTACCGCGTGAACGATGTTTGCCATTCGCTTGACGGAATTACGTTCCCCTGAGTGGCCACGAAGACCTGGGGGCTGACCTCAATGTCGGGGGAAATTTATGTTTGTGAGCACCTATTAAGGCTGGCGCGGCGCGCGGGATGCTCGTTGGCCGATGCCGTACAAGCCACCTTATCCTCCACACAGTATCGACCAGAGGTGTGGACTCGAGTCATGTGACTTGGACTCGAGTCAGACTCGAGTCATGAATTTGATGACTTCAGACTCGACTTGGACTTGCATAACAATGACTTTGTCCCACCTCTGGTATCGACACACCGCATCAGCTGAGAATAATAATTCGTTGTTTTTACAGAGCGTCGTTTATGCTAACTGCATATAGATAAGGGCCAAATCATATTTATAGCAGCTGATTTGAACAGAACTGGTGCGGAAATCACTCGCAACTCATAATCACAATATTTATCCTGGACAAATACGATGATCCATGAAGCTCCTTTTTCACAGTTGCACCACAACAAGAGGCACGCGAACAACAATAAAAACAAGAGTGAGCACAACATTAATGAAGTCGCAACATTGCAGTCCACAATCACTGCTTCTCACACAAACCGGGAAACCTTCATGGGAGGGACGGCGGAGATGACGCCCGGCCGCCTTTGTCTCCCCGGTGGCGATGTTTACCCACTGCACCGGGTACTCATTTGATGCTGAGTCGACCTAGGGGAAGGCCAGACCCTGTTCAAATAATCGCCAATGGCTTTTGCCGTGAGCTGGAATCAAACCCGGGTCGCCAAGTTCGTAGCGCAGCGCGCTAACCGCTACACCACCACCACAGTGCCACAGGCGTAGTCAGCCGTGCGAGAGCACATGTTGTTCACGTTAACCTGGGATGATGTATCTTAAAGTCTGCACATGTCAGGCTAATAACTGCAAACAGCTCTGCACCGCGCGACCTAAACAAACCCAAGGCACCCCTCGCATGTACTGGATGTACAGCCATGTAAGGCTGCTCCGTGTACACAACAACAGCAGCAGCAGCAGCGGCGGCGGCGGCGGTAACAGCAAAAACATAAGTCAGCAACAATCCTGTTACACAAATCTACGTGGAACGATGTTTAAAAAATATTTTAAAAAATCACATTGGCGAAGAGGTGGGGGGCGGGGGGTGGGTAGGAAATGCTTAACGTCTGCAAACAATTACGGCCTGTGGAACAAGCCCCTGTTGCCTGGACAAAAGCCATTCTGCGGATCTTTCAGGAAATTCTTGACAGAGCTCCGGTTTATTCTCTCTTCTCCCCGAGCTGCCTGAGGACGGGGGAAGGGGGGCACGGTGACGCGGTAAGAGCCCCCCACGGTGGAGCGCGCTAATGTGCTGGAGAAATCCGATGAGCTGCAAAGCTCCGTTTTTTCACAGATGTCCAGTAGGGAAAGTTAGAATGTCGCAATGACAAACAATGCAAACAACCACGATAGGAGTGCACAGTATATGACAATTAAATCAGAATCAGAAAGGGTTTTATTCGCCATGAAAGTTCGCACAGACAAGGAATTTACTCTGACAGGAAGGTGCATACATTCAACATGTAGGAATCTTAAATCTTAAATAAGTGGTGTACAAGTCTAACTATACTAAAGGTACAAAGTCTAACTAATACTAAGGAGCTAAAGTATGTAATAATTGAATTTAAAAATATTAAAATATACAATAGCTATAATATACAATATAAAATTTCAAAAATGCAAATAGGGTAGCATAGTGCAAATATGGCAGGGTGTAATTGTGCAAGATAAGTGTTAAAGTCAGTTTGAGTGTTAAAGTCAGTATGAGTGTTAAAGTCAGTTTGAGTGTAAAGGTCATTTTGAGCGTTAAAGTCAGTTTGAGTGTTAAAGTCAGTTTGAGTGTTAAAGTCAGTTGAGCGTTTTTAAAGTCAGTTTGAGTGTAAAGTCAGTTTGAGTGTTAAAGTCAGTTTGAGTGTTAAAGTCAGTTTGAGTGTTAAAGTCAGTTTGAGTGTTAAAGTCAGTTTGAGCGTTTAAAGTCAGTTTGAGTGTTAAAGTCAGTTTGGAGTGTTTAAAGTCAGTTTGAGTGTTAAAGTCAGTTTGAGTGTTAAAGTCAGTTTGAGTGGTAAAGTCAGTTTGAGTGTTAAAGTCAGTTTGAACGTTGAAGTCAGTTTGAGCGTAAAGTCAGTTTGAGCGTTAAAGTCAGTTTGAGTGTTAAAGTCAGTTGAGTGTTAAAGTCAGTTTTGAGTGTTAAAGTCAGTTTGAGTGTTAAGTCAGTTTGAGCGTTAAAGTCAGTTTGAGTGTTAAAGTCAGTTTGAGTGTTAAAGTCAGTTTGAGTGTTAAAGTCAGTTTGAGTGTTAAAGTCAGTTTGAGTGTTAAAGTCAGTTTGAGTGTTAAAGTCAGTTTGAGCGTTTAAAGTCAGTTTGAGTGTTAAAGTCAGTTTGAGTGTTAAGTCAGTTTGAGTGTTAAAGTCAGTTTGAGTGTTAAAGTCAGTTTGAGTGTTAAAGTCAGTTTGAACGTTAAAGTCAGTTTTGAGCGTTAAAGTCAGTTTGAGTGTTAAAGTCAGTTTGAGTGTTAAAGTCAGTTTGAGTGTTAAAGTCAGTTTGAGCGTTAAAGTCAGTTTGAGTGTTAAAGTCAGTTTGAGTGTTAAAGTTAGTTTGAGTGTTAAAGTCAGTTTGAGTGTTAAAGTCAGTTTGAGTGTTAAAGTCAGTTTGAGCGTTAAAGTCAGTTTGAGTGTTAAAGTCAGTTTGAGTGTTAAAGTCAGTTTGAGTGTTAAAGTCAGTTTGAGTGTTAAAGTCAGTTTGAGTGTCAAAGTCAGTTTGAGTGTCAAAGTCAGTTTGAGCCCCTGGCCTTGTTGAAGAGGCCAGCAACGGATGGGAAGAAACTGTTTTTGTGGCGTGAGGTTTTGGTCCTGATGGACCGCAGCCTTCTGCCGGAGGGGAGAAGCTGGAACAGGCAGTGTCCAGGGTGGGAGGAGTCGGCCATAAATGAATCGCTGTCAAAAATATGCAAATAAAACTAAACTATTGACAACAAATCACAACAGGTAAAGCTCACCGAGCTATTAGCTGATTTTTCAGAAGCGACCTGGCCACAAATGATAGCTCAACGAAGTGGCTTGTCAAGTGCGAAATCCATCGCAGGGAAATGATTTTAAATGTGGAGGGGAAAAACCGGAGGACCCAGAGATAAAAAAAATCCACGCGACCACGGGGAGAAAGAGACACGCAAACTCCAAATACACAACAGGCGTCAGGGTCGGGATAGAACCCACGATCTCCTGCAAATCAGGCGAAGAAGATAACATCACTCCACCGTGGCACCCTTAAATAACAAAAACAAGGTCTATAAGTTCAAATTGCATTAGGGAATCATAAAACTTTCCAACCGGCAGTTGCAAACGTCAAGCTCGTTAAATAGGGCCATACATTATAATAATACAAAAAAAAATTCAATAAAAGCGTTCAGTGTGTTTTCTCTTGTTAGCCTAAATATCAATAAAATACTCATAAAATTTCGATTTAAAACTTTCGTGACTGCAGGGATTCATCTTCTTTGTTCTTTCGGTAATATAATAAAATACTCATTTTAAGGGGTCTCGAAGGGAGGGCATTTGGGCCATGGGGTGGCCAAACACAGCGTGGATGTGCGGCCACTGGGCGGAGGGAGAAGTGGGGGGCTGGGAGTGATCCGATTGATCCCGTGATTGATACTGGAGCCGTAGGGGGGAACTCGCGATGTGAGCGCGGAAATCGAAGACATTTGTCATTGTGGCCAAACCTTGCTGCTGCCTAATGAGTTCGCTAAACTTCTGCGGACACTGGGAAGAGGGGGGTGGTGGTTTGCGTTACCATACACGGCAGGCGGCGTTACAAAACAATAATTGATGCCCGGATTCAGTCTTGAACCTGAATCGTGAGCATCTGACGAATAACGTGATGGAGGGGATTGATCATTCCACCCCCCCACCCCGCACAGAGGAGCCAGGCAATCGGGTAGGACGAGCGCTTGACGATTAACGTGAGAGGCATCGAGGCGTTTCAAATGTTTTTGGAGGGTCGCCGATAGATGGAGCAGCATCGCTAAACGAGCGACGACGAGGGAGCGAGTGCACGATGATGGTGAATTATAGCATCGCGGTGCGGCCTTTGCACAATTCAACCGAATCCACCGCCACCGCCACGACCTTTGCCGCATGCTGTGTCACTCACACAACTCGGAAGTTGCCCGGAGAAAAATCGACGCGACTACGGGGAGAGAGAGAGACACGCAAACTCGAAATATACAGCGGGTGTCAGGGTCGAGATGGAAACCCACGACCTTCTGTATACCAGGCGAGGAAGTTAACATCTCCTAGTCACCGTGATGATGATGAGAGAGAGAGACACGCAAACTCGAAATATACAGCAGGCGTCAGGGTCGGGATCGAACCTACGACCTCCTGCATACCAGGCGAGGTAGTTAACATCTCCTAGTCACCGTGATGATGATGAGAGAGAGAGACACGCAAACTCGAAATATACAGCGGGTGTCAGGGTCGAGATGGAAACCCACGACCTCCTGTATACCAGGCGAGGTAGTTAACATCTCCTAGTCACCGTGATGATGATGAGAGAGAGAGAGAGACACGCACACTCGAAATATACAGCGGGTGTCAGGGTCGGGATCGAACCCACGACCTCCTGTATACCAGGCGAGGTAGTTAACATCTCCTAGCCACGTGATGATGATGCGAGAGAGAAAGAGAGACACGCAAACTCGAAATATACAGCAGGCGTCAGCGTCGGGATCGAACCCCGGACCTTCTGCATACCAGGCGAGGTAGTTAACATCTCCTAGCCATCGTGATGATGATGAGAGAGAGACACGCAAACTCGAAATATACAGCAGCGGGCGTCAGCGTCGAGATCGAACCCACGACCTCCTGCACACCAGGCGAGGTAGTTAACATCTCCTAGCCACGTGATAATGAGAGAGAGAAAGAGGGACACGCAAACTCGAAATATACAGCAGGCGTCAGCGTCGAG